ATGAAGGCTTGATAAAAATTGCATAATTGATCCATGTCAACCACATACTACAAGCACAACCATATAGTTCAAATATTTGACGTCCAATTACACCATCCAAAGTTGCCATACAGCAAAATCTATTATCCTAATCTGTATCAAATTACACTCTCAGAAGATTAAAAAGATCTCATAAGCACTGTACACATTGTCTAAAAGTTTACCCAGTAAACCAAAGACTTGAGGGGAAGCAATCAGGTCAGCAGCCACTGATTTTCACTACATCATTCTAAAGACTCCTGTATTAGGCTACATCCGGTATCAATGAACATCGTAGTCACTCACAACATTTAACTCTCTATGTCACAAAGCAGAGAGAGGCAACCAAGTATCCAAATATTTGTTAACAGCACTAAGGTATTTGCATGAATCCAGTGGGGGGCGGATTCACACATGTGAGAAAAACATGCCTAGTGCGGTCTGCTTCCAGTCTACAAATAACTTGATAGCTGTGTCCGAGGTGGATGGCTATTCTGTTCTAGGGTCTGGTCAGACACAATTAAGAGCAACCAGCAGTCAGTCTGGAAAAAAAAAAACCTTTGCTTTAAGATTCATTATCTTAATTTTCCCCCCAAAATAACATATCCATTGTATTATATACACTATATAGATGACTTAAAATCCTCAAAAAGTAAATGCTGGAGGTGTCAGTGATGTAATTGTTTAATGGCAGATATCCTGCATAGTTAAATTGTAGAAGACAAAAATAATACCTTTGCTTAAGGACTGGTTAGAGAAAGTACGACATGTGGTACAGTGGGGAAAAGATACATTCAAGAGAGAAGAGAACAATATCTGCGACAGGAGAACAGGCTTACACAATGATGGCCGTTGTTTTTAAATCACTGGAATAACGAGATTAGTTACAAAGTTTACTTACATAATTTATTTACCAAATTATAATTAAAGCAAAGCAAAGTATGCTGCTTATATACCACCCCATAGTGCTTCAAGCACGCTCTGGGTGGTTTATTATGCAGGTTAATTATGCAGTTAATTATGCAGGCTACACATTGCCCCCCCCCAGCAAGCTGGGTACTCATTTTACCGACCTCGGAAGGACAGAAGGCTGAGTCGCCTACTGGGATTGAACCCCAGGTCATGAGCACAGCTTTGGCTGCAGTACAGAGGTTTAACCACTGTTCTACGAGTGGTTAAAATTGAGTCCTTTCTTTCTCCCTTTATAAAAGGATAGGTAGGAGTTGTTATAAAAGTGGCACAAATCATCAAAAGAATTTAATATGATGACTTTCTGGTTGATAGAAATAATATAGAATTATAACAAAATTCAAAGTGATAAGACTATGATTCTATGAACTATTCTTTGAGCTTCTAACAAATTCATTTTAAACTGATTTGTGGCCTATGCACAATTATGAACCTCACATTCATAATATTTTCCATCTGTATTACAAACTATAAGGAAATTCCAACTTATAGTAAGCAGACAAAGGGCCTTTGCAGGAGTTACTTATTTATATACACTTACCATAAACAAAAAAGGAGTGCTCTAGCCCTGCTATCTGTTACCACTTTTGTTGGTCTTGTACACGTGGAGGGTCCCATGTCTTAGGAGCCCTGTTATCGGTGCAAACTCTTGACATGAGTGTGAGTCTAGAAAATCAGGATCCTGATTCAGATGGAGCACCCCTATCAATAGCAGCGCTTCCTTCTTCAGACTTACTGCTCCATGGATAGGAGGACAACAAAACTAAGTATTGACAGGTGCTGGGCTAGAGCACTCCCTCTTACACACAGTGAAATAAATAGATAACCCCTGAACAGACTTAAAATCCAAGAGCTAGTGAGTAGTTCTATACATTATTGCAAAAACTCTATGCATTAGTGCAAGGAAGTGCAATCTAAGTAAAAAAGAGGCTGAAGCAATTCCCTTGTGAGAAAAGGAAATGTCACAACTTTTGAGGCTTTTCAGCTTGGAAACAAGAGAAATAGCAGGGCACATGATAGAGGTGGATGAAATGAAGCCTCCAGTAGAGAAGGAAATATGTATTCCCTTTACTCATAATACTAGAACCCAAGTTATCCACTGGAGCTAACTGGTGAGAGTTTCAGGACAGATAAAAAAAATGCTCAGCAAAGAGCCTATAGCAGACCTGGGCAAAGTGTGGCCCACAGGCCACATATGGCCCGCAAGCCGCTCCTGTCCGGCCCACGCATCGCCGCTGAGTGAGCCAGAGCTCCGGCTCTGGTCAGCCAGCACGGCAGTAAGCAAAACTTGTGAGATCTGATGCTGGGACGCTCCGGCTCTGGTCAGCCAGCACGGCAGTAAGCAAAACTTGTGAGATCTAACACTGGGACCTCGCAAGTTTTGACTGTTACTCTTGAGCCACAGGCTGCAGAGCCTGCGGCTCAAGAGGCCGGAAGTGATCCTTGCGCAACTGACGTGATGACGCATCACGTCTCATGCGTGGGATAGAAGACAGAGAGGAAGGCCGTGGGGGAATGGAGAACAGGTGAGTTAGCTCAGTGTCGGGGGTTTTTTCCTCCCCCCCCCCCCCCCGGGGAACAATATAAAAAATCACAACATTACCCAGTGGGATAGAAGACAGAGAGGAAGGCCGTGGGGGAATGGAGAACAGGTGAGTTAGCTCAGTGTCGGGGGTTTTTTCCTCCCCCCCCCCGCGGTGAACGAATTACAACACTCACATAGTTAACTCCCTAAAAAGTTTAGGGAGTTAACTATGTCAGCCTTGTAGTTCATTCACCACAGGGCCTCACCCAATGGGGTCCTATTACTACCCACAAATTTAGGGGCCTATTACTACCCACCTAATGGGGGCCTATTTTTAAGTAAAGTTGGTTAGACCCCTGAACACAGTTCAGATTTTTCATGTGGCCCCCTATAGAAATTAATTGCCCACCCCTGGCCTATAGGATTCTGCTACCCCACAGTGTCACAATTAGACACAGTTATGCAGAATAAGGCTACTACTAGTTACAACAACAACAAAAACTAGTACTACTACTAATAATAACAATAATAATGTTTACATTCATTTGCACAGCTTGTTGAGGCTCAATTTACGAAGTGCAAGGTGCATCTCTGCTGCATTTCTAGTCATGCCCCTGGTGAGTCCTGGTACCCTTTTAATATGCTGTAATATGTTACAGGAGCCTTAAGAGAGCACCAGTAGGACCTTAGTCATTCTTTATTACCTTCAATGTCATAGACAGCTTGCCTCTCAGTATCAGTTGTGGGGGAACACAAGTAGAGCAAGCAGTTGCACTTTCTACTACCCCAGGGTTTCCAGTGGGCACCTGGAACGCAACTCTAGGAATGGAATGCTGAACAAGACACAACTTTGGTCTGATCTTGGGGGAAGAGGTCCTTTTATGTCATATAGTTTTTATATGTGAGCATGAATTATCCCCTATTTAATATTTAATAATCAAGGAAATTCTGTCATACTGTAACTGTGCTCATTGCTGAACAAGACAAGATACAAATTACCATTTCCCATGTAGTAAAATCCAAAGCATAAAGATAATTTTTTTCTCTGTGGAAGCATTATTCTTTAATTTCTACCAATGAAAACAATAGATTCTAATTATGATTTAACTAAGACTCACAATAATATATTTACTGCCTACTTTAATATCCAATATTTCATACTGAATGGCTATAGGCACTAATAATATTTTTTGAATAAAAGAAAAATTTGGTTACATTCCTAGATTTGGGCTACTAAATTACTTACCACTTGCTATTTTTATATGTACTTTTCTCTTACATGCCCACCCAAACTAAGCAACTGCAACACAGAATTAGGAGCACTTAAGTATTATTAGTACTTATTCAATTTAAGACAGGTTAACTCTGACTTAAGTATTAATACAAACAGACTCAAGGCAAGCAAGTCAAGTCACATATGATTTACTAAGAGAATTGCTGCACATTAGTGATGGAGGCTGGAATTTACTTATATAATTTATATGCTACCTTTCTTGCCATAGGGGCTTAGATAATTCTACCTGTGACTATATTTCAGTGGGGTTTAAGTCTGAATAGATATGGGTAGGGCTGCACTATAATTCCAAGGAAACTCATCAAACAGAAATCTGAAGTTATATCACTCATAACTGAAACCTATACTAAATTGTACTTCTTTTCCCTAAATTTCCTAAAGGGAACCAGAACCAAGAGTGTATTTGATACTGTAGGAACCTGCTCTTCAACCATATTGATGTGAAGTATATAAACCATTGCAGAAAGCTCGATTCTAGAAGAGCATCTGCCATATGTAAATATTGCTGCAACGTATTTAAGGTCATTCGTAATATTTGCCTATCATAAAGTGTACTCCAGGGCGGTTTACTGCAAAATACAGTACAGTGATTTGGAATGCACTGCCCCGATGAGCTATCATCAGTCCTGACACCGATTCTCTTCAAGTGACATTTAGCACAGAGAGTTAACAGTTGATTAAAACTTTTTGTTTCCGAATAGAGTACCTCGCGTTTCGCAAGGGCTTTGGCAATGCTGCGCTCCAAATGTGCGCAAGCTCTTGCAATCAAAAATAGTTATTTTCCAGAGTTGATGGAGCAGGTGGAAGGAAGAGTTAAGAAACAATCCACGAAACGCGGGCGACCCCAGCAGAAAAAGCACTCTGGTCACTTCCATAAACGGCTCAAAAGCGGGTCCTTCCCACAGAGCTTGGCCGTCTCGTCCCACCAGGAACTGCTTCAACGCCGGCTTCTCCAAGCAGGTGACGGGGCTTCCAACCCGCCCAAAGAGTGGCCTCCTCATCCCACCTACCCCCCCACGCCCTATCGACTGTAAAACAGAATGGGAAGCGAGCGAAGGAAAGCGCGCCAGAGGGAGGGAGGAAAGGAGAGGGGAGGAAAAGCAGGAGTCACAAGCGGGCTGACGGCGAGGCGCAAGGAAGCCAAGAAGCGCGGGCGGCCTCGGCTCTCCGGCGGCGGCGGCGGGTGGCTCCTACCTCGAGGCGCCCTGGCGCGGAGGGGCCACTTCGCTCCCTTCCTCCGGCTCCTTCGAGGGCGTCCTGGAGAAAAGTCGGGAGAAGCCACTGTGCCAAGAGGAGCCGGTTCTCCTCCGGCCACCCCCGCCGGACATCTCCGCCCGGCCGGGACTGAGGGCAGCAGGCTGCCCTTCTCGCTCTGCGGCGTGGGCTGAGAGGGAGAGGCGGCCCCGGGTGGCGGAAGCGCTTCTTTCTTCCTAAGTTTCTAGTCCATTGCTCCGGCGAGGCGGGGAAACCGAAGCGCCTGAAGTAGCCAGCCGGGCTTTGAGCCCTGCCCCCGGCCGCGGTTGCACGGCGCCTCGGCCGCCCGGCCCACGAGGAGGAGCCAGGGCCGCGAACGACCCGCCTCCTCACGGCTCACGGCCCGCGTTTCCCGCGCGTCGCCTCCCAGGGGCCGGGCAGGCGCGCGGTTCCCGCCTCTTCCCTTCGGCCGGGTGAGCGAAGAACTTCGGGTTGGGCGGGTGTTTGCTTCCCTCCAGAGCTATCACCACAAAGCACCAATGGGCGCCTTCCTTTCTCGGGGGCAGCGCGACGAGGACGCCACATTCCTTTTGTGCTCCGGCACGGCGTGGGCGGCCGGCGCTCCGGCGCCTCCTGGTTAAGTGCGCTGAACACGAAAATGTTTGAAATCCGCTTGTACGTATCCCACCCGCGTATTTCCCTCCCAGAGGGACAGCCCTGGATTCCGAGGGCGCAAGTGGAGGTTAAACTTGGGTTCCACTTGACGAAGTGTGGCTGTGCCAAAATGAAACTCGGTTCTGGGCTTTAAAAGGCCACCAAGGTCTTTCCTTTTGCTGCAAGAAGCAAAAAAATGAAAAATAAAAAAACCCCACACGGCTACCCCCTCGGAAATTATAATAAACTATTATAATTTCCGAAGTGGTGGGGTTTTTTGCCTTACAGCAAAAAGTAACTTTGTGGCCCTTTGAGAAGTAATGCTGAAACTATTGCTTCATTTAAGGTGCTGCAAGGCAGCAACAAGAGTTTGTGTCTGTCCCGTTAAAGCCAGGTTTCTGCCTTTTCCAAATTTCAGATCAACGCCCCTTTAAAGAGTTCCTTTTAAACCAATTACAACTTTCTGTAAAAGAACTGGAATGAAAGTTGTCCACTTCAAACAGTTCCCCCTCCCCAGGCCATTCACTACTTTTCAGTGGAAAATGAATCAGTTGGCTGCTTGTTACTGGCTCTCATGGCGAGTT